TAAGAAAGCTCTTCTCTCAATAATTTTTTTAATGAAAGGACAAGCTTGAATAAGATACTTTATCGCCAATGAAAGTTGGCAATGTCAGTTGCTAGCTAAGCCAAGCAAAGCAAAGCCAAAACTGAGTATTATTCCTCACAGCAAGTAAAGTTATTAAACCAGGTGCTAGGATAATTGCAGTGATCGAAGAGATTAGCTCTAGCAATCTTAGTTTTTTGAACACAATCTAAAAAAAGTTAAATATGAACTAAAAATTATTTAAGTTATCACGTAAATTAATTTGAAAATACTCCGGTATTAAAAAATAAAGTAATGGAAGAGGAGGCGGGGATAGATGAAGGTTTACTAATAATCTTGATTTTTTACGGTAGCAGTGGCGGTGGTTAATCATCAAGAGCTCTCTTTTTGATGCAAGCGTGGGTATAAATGCAGGACCTTTGCCATTACTCTTTCGCTTTCACTCTCTCTTCAAGGACACGAATACCCATCTTTCATTTCTCTCTCTCTAAGTGAAAAAGGTTGTATCCTCCTCTCTCTTTCACCATCACTAGTTCGTGTTTGTGTGTGTGAGCTGAAGCCTTAAAAAAGCTGAGGATAGGAGGGTTTTCAACAGAACAGAACCCAAAGAATTCAATAAAGTTTTGTTTTTGTGTGGAAAAGGGCTTGAATGAAGAGCAGGGTACCAAAAGTAGCACAGAATCTGAAATGGGTATCTTTCTCCTGCTACTTTTAGCTTGTCTCTGATGCTGCCACAACTCTGACTAGGGTTTTGAATGGCCTATTTATTGTACTGAAATCAATGTTCTTTTGTTTTCTTTTTGACTGCCTTCTTCCTACACACTTTGACAGCTTTCCCTTGAAACTTTCCTTTTTACTGCTTATCTTGTTTCTTGTGTCCTTGGCCATTGTGGGTACTTTCCTTTGTTCCAATTTTTAGGACACTTCAGTTCTTTGGTGGGTTAGCTTAGGAAGTGGTGGCAATTCAGTTTCTTTGATCTTTTGGTACGTATTTTTGTACTGGGTAGCTTCAAGTTCAGCGCCTTGGTGATTTTAAGGCCATTAATTGAAGGGGGTCTTTCTCGTTTAGTTCTAATAATTGATGTCCTTGTAGGTAGTTAGCTATAGATATGTTTGGTTCTAGGTAATTTCTTTCTGTTTGGTGGATTGAGCTTTTGAAGCAATATCTCGACACCACTTTGAATTGTGAAGTTTCTTACGCAGTATGTGCAATTTTTGTGTGTGTGTCTGGTCTCAATTGGAACTTCCTTTTATAGATAGAAGAAACTAAAGCTTCTTGTTTAAATTTATTTTCCTATTTCCCCTGCATCCTTCAGTCAGTGTCTCTTTGATCTTTGGCTAATTATATTGAGGCACAAGAGAATTCCGGGGCTGGTTAATTTTTAGATTCACTTTCTATTTGACTAAAATTCTGTAGACTAGTTACTGACATTTCAAGTACAACTGTGAGAGGTGCGTTTCTCTTGGCTACTTTTGTTTATTTTTGCGAAGGAGAGATGGATATGAGTGACAAGGATAAATTTGAGTTAGAAAAGAGCAATGATAATCCTACCAACTACCATTCATCTGGTGGCCTGTCCTCAGACTGGCGATTTAACAGTACCAGTATCCCAAACTCATCTCTGGGTTTGGTTCCCATTGATAATCAGATGTCAGTTTGCAGAGGAGATCTAGTAGGTGCTGCTTCCTGCTCTTCTGCTTCTGTGATAGACTCATTTGGGCCAGCCATGTGGGAACATCCCACCAATTCGCAGAACTTGGTTTTTTGTGATATTAATGTTCAAAATATTGCAAGCAGTTCAAACACGGCAGGGATTGGAAAAGGAGTCCCTGCTTCATTGAGAAATGGTATTGATAGAACACTAGAAATGGGGTGGAATCCACCTAATTCAATGCTGAAAGGTGGAATTTTCTTGCCGAATGCCCCTGGGGTGCTCCCACAGAGCTTATCACAGTTTCCAGCTGATTCTGCATTCATTGAGCGTGCTGCCAGGTTTTCGTGCTTCAATGGAGGAGATTTTGGTGATATGGTGAACCCTTTTGGAGTTCCTGAGTCTATGGGTCTTTTTTCGAGGGGTGGGGGGATGATGCAGGGACCAGGAGAGGTGTTTGTGGGCAGTGGGATGAAATCAGTATCTGGTGGACAATCTCAAAAGAATGTTATGAACGCCGGTGAAGCTTCCAAAGATATTTCTATGTCTGTCGACCATATGGCTACTGAAGGGAGCCCTCTCAAGAATGAGACAAAAAGAGAAAGCCTTGCAAGATCTCGTGATGAAGCCAAAAAAGGTCTGGGGGGGTCTAGTAATGACTCTGACGAAGCTGAATTCAGTGGTGGTAGTGGTCAAGATGAGCCATCAATGTTGGAGGGCAACTGTGGGGAGCTTTCAGCCAAGAGCCTTGGCTCAAAGAAAAGAAAAAGGAGTGGAGAGGTAGCAATCATGTTTCCTTATTTGGTGGTATGTTGATTAAATTGCTTGTAATGATCATTTTTTGGTGGTAGGATGCTGAGCTTGATCAGGCCAAGGGAACCCCTCAATCTGCAAAGGGTAGCCCTGAAACTCAACAGAAGGGAGACCAAAAACCAACTTCAACTACCAGCAAGGCTGGTGGTAAACAAGGTAAACAGGGGTCTCAGGGTTCAGATCAACCAAAAGAAGAATATATTCATGTCAGAGCTCGAAGAGGCCAGGCAACAAATAGCCATAGTCTTGCGGAAAGGGTAAGTTCTTTGTATCAACTCATAAATGGGATCTTAACCAAATTCTATTTCAGTGATTGGGCTCAAGATGACTGATCCTGATTGCAGGTAAGAAGGGAAAAGATCAGTGAAAGGATGAAGTTTCTACAGGACCTTGTTCCTGGTTGCAGCAAGGTTTGTTTGTTGGATTTGATAGCTTCAAGTGAAGCATTTTCTTCGGAAACTCAATTGTTAATTCAGTTCTTGTCATGATATGAATTGGATCTTGCAGGTCACAGGGAAGGCAGTGATGCTAGATGAAATCATTAACTATGTGCAATCACTGCAGCGGCAGGTTGAGGTAAGACAGTGAGAATCTGTTCTTGTGTCCAATTTGGTGGTTCTTAAATAGTCCACTACATATGCATCATGCACAATCCAACGTCATCAAAAATTCGTTGGATAGATGAGCCTGGTTATGTGAACTATTTTCTGGTTTGCTTTAAATGGAGCAAATTACTCGCTTATCTGGTCTTTCTCTTAAGCTCTTGCTTTTGACATAAGGACAAACAATTGAAATAACAGTCTCTCTGATGCTGTTATTTAACTTCTCTTGTCTTTGCTTCTGTTGAGATTGCTTTTTATCTCTTTGCAGTTTCTATCAATGAAACTTGCAACGGTGAATCCAAGGCTGGATTTTAACATAGAAGGACTCCTCGCAAAAGATGTGAGTATTAGCCAGTTTTTTATTCTGGTGCGTGCACCCTATCCATATCCAGGGTTTGCATGACCGAGAATTTGCTTTTGGATCAGTAAAATGCAACTTCATGTGCTTTATCTGAGCCACCAAAGTGCTTTGTATTGTCAGATCCTTCAGTCACGTGCTCTTCCTCCATCCTCTCTGGCATTTTCCTCAGAAATGCCAATGGCTTATCCTGCATTACATCAATCTCAACCAGGGCTTATTCCGACTGCTTTTCCTGGAATGGAGAGTCACTCTGACATAATCCGGAGAACTATTAATTCTCAATTGACAACCATGACTGCAGGATTCAAGGAACCTGCTCAGGTACATCTATATCCGATTTTTTATTTACCGGTACAATTCCAGGAACAGAGTAGTACATGGTGCTGGAAATGTTTTTGTATCGAATATTTACATAGACATCAACTAAAGTGGTGCATTGTGTATAGAAATTAACCAAGCCCTGAGGCATAGAGGTCTCTAGGAATATTTTGTGCTACACTTGAAGGATAAGTATGAATTCAGACCATGCATGCATATTTCTGTCTCCTAATAAAAAAACTGGTGATATTTTGACCTCAAACTTCAGTGGAAATTCTCTGAAGATAAAATACCAATTAACTGAAATTATTTATTTCCGCTTGGCCTCCTTCAAATACTTTGTGTTACAATTTGTTTTCGGTTAATATTCTTGACGACAGCTACCCAATGTATGGGATGATGAGCTCCACAATGTTGTCCAGATGACCTATGGAACCAGTGCTCCCCAAGACAGCCAAGATGTAAATGGTATGACTCTTGAAGTTTGCCATATAATATCTCCCATGCTAAATGATCCCATGTTGAATACATACATATTTTTTGTTGCAGAGCCACTGCCACCAGCACATTTGAAAGTTGAACTTTAATTATTCTCCCTGGCCTCAATGCGTTATATTCAGGCACATATGCATGTATTAATACTCTTGAGGATTAAACCACTTGTGCTTCTCTTCAAATCTTGAAGATGGTGAAATTACTGATGTTTCTGGCTGATCAGTTTGAAGCTGGAGGTTAGTTGCAGTTAACCAGCAGGGTTTTGAGAGCTTGGATGGCTATTGATACTACCGCAACCTCCAACCTCCAACCTCCATGCGTCTATCACTTGATCATTATAATGCTTGTTACCAAAAATGCGAATGGATAGTTTTGAGGCTATGAATTTAAAAATGTATAGATCGACCTTCCAAATGATAGGCTAATGGGAAACTCGTGTGTTGTCTAGCCTTTGTAATTTACAAAACCATGGGAATCGTGTTTGTTTGTTAGTCAATGACAGGATGTAATGCTATTCTTTTTTCTTTCTTATTATCCATTTTCTTACATTAGTTAGTAGAAATATTTCCGATTTCATGTCAAATGTGGATCCAATCCCATTATTTAGTTCAACACTCAAAGGAATCTCCAGATTAAAACTCTTAATTTCAAAAATCGCCGGAGAAAAATTAGTTTCAACAGCAGGTCTAAAGAATTTTTAGGAGCTGCAATATCCTTCATGCATGCATTATAATACACATTGAAAGAGATGTTCGCTGTGTCAGCGTCTGAGCTAAAGCTTTCTGTTAGGACAAATATGCCATTAACAAATTCCCTCTCCCTCTCCCTCTCTTTTTTTAACTCTTAGGAATAGTAGACTAAAAAAGAGTTTCTGAGCTAGCATCATCGTCAAAAAGGACGTAAGCTGAATAGGGCTGCAGAATATGAGAGTTTTACCGCTACTCACCTAAAACCTAAGCACTATGCTTTCTTCAAATGTTTCATTTTCTATATTAACAAGTAAAGTTGCATTCCACTCTGCAACCCGTTTCTTTTTCTCCGTTCCCGCCAGAGATAAGTAGTCAATCAAACAATGTCGAATTCCTCTAACTACTACTCTTCCCTGCTAAAACTTTGCTGCGAAACCCGAAACCAAACACAAGCCAAGAAGCTCCATTGCCTCATAATCAAGTCCTTAACAAACCCAGAAACCTTTCTCTATAACAATCTCATCAACGCTTACAGTAAATTAGGCAATATAACCTATGCACGCCATTTGTTTGACAAAATGCCTCAACCTAACTCGTTTTCATGGAACACCATGCTTTCTGCTTATTCGAAATCTGGGGATTTATCAACAATGCAAGAGATCTTTAGTATCATGCCAAGTCGAGATGGGGTCTCTTGGAACTCGCTTATTTCTGGGTATGCATGTTATGGCTCAGTTGTGGAGGCTGTTAAAACTTATAACTCGATGATGAAAGATGGAGTTTTAAATTTGAACAGGATTACATTTTCTACTATGCTTTTGTTGGTTTCGAGTCAAGGGTGTGTCGATTTGGGTAGGCAGATTCATGGGCAGATTGTGAAATTTGGGTTTGGGGCTTATGTTTTTGTAGGGAGTTCTTTGGTGGATATGTATGCTAAAATGGGGTTAGTTTCTGTGGCAAGTCAGGTTTTTGATGAGGTTCAAGAGAGGAATGTGGTGATGTATAATACAATGATTACAGGGCTTCTGAGATGTGGGATGGTAAAGGATTCGAAGAGGCTGTTTCATGGTATGAAGGAAAGAGATTCCATTTCGTGGACAACAATGATCACAGGGCTTATACAAAATGGATTGGAGGCCGAAGCTATGGATTTGTTTAGAGATATGAGGCAAGAAGGGATGGCGATGGATCAGTATACGTTTGGTAGTGTGTTGACTGCATGCGGGGGGCTTATGGCTTTGAAAGAGGGAAAGGAAATTCATACTCTTATAATTAGGAGTGGATATAACCATAATGTCTTTGTTGGTAGTGCTCTCGTTGACATGTATTGCAAGTGTAGAAGTGTACGATACGCGGAAGCAGTGTTCAAGAGAATGGCAAATAAGAATGTTGTATCATGGACTGCTATGTTAGTGGGTTATGGCCAGAATGGGTTCAGTGAAGAAGCTGTCAGGGTTTTTTGTGACATGCAAAGAAATGGGATTGAGCCAGATGATTTCACTTTAGGAAGTGTTATTAGCTCATGTGCAAATCTAGCGAGCTTAGAAGAAGGTGCACAATTTCATTGTCAAGCCCTAGTTTCTGGGTTGATTTCTTTTATAACAGTCTCCAATGCGCTCATTACTTTGTATGGTAAATGTGGAAGCATTGAAGATTCCAATCAGCTGTTTGATGAAATGAGCTTCAGGGATGAAGTTTCTTGGACTGCTTTGGTTTCAGGATACGCACAATTTGGAAAAGCCAACGAGACAATTGATTTATTTGAAAGAATGCTGGTCCAAGGTTTAAAACCTGATGCTGTTACATTCATTGCAGTCCTCTCAGCATGCAGTAGAGCGGGGTTGGTGGAGAGAGGACAACACTATTTTGAATCAATGCTGAAGGACCATGGAATAATTCCTTTTTCTGATCACTACACCTGCATGATTGACCTTTTTGGTCGAGCAGGAAGGTTAGAAGAAGCCAAAAGTTTTATCAACAAGATGCCTTCCAGTCCTGATTCAATAGGTTGGGCAACTTTGCTGAGTTCTTGCAGACTTTATGGCAATGAGGAAATCGGCAAATGGGCAGCCGAGTCTCTTCTAGAACTAGATCCCCAAAACCCTGCAGGCTATATCTTGCTCTCCAGCATCTATGCTGCTAAAGGCAAATGGAGCAATGTGGCCCAACTAAGGAGAGGAATGAGAGAAAAGGGAGCAAGAAAGGAACCAGGATTCAGTTGGATCAAGTATAAAAGCAAAGTTTATATTTTCTCCGCAGAGGACCAGTCAAGTCCCTTTTCTGATCAGATATATGCTGAGCTGGAGAAACTAAACCACAAGATGATAGAGGAGGGGTATGTGCCAGATTCAAGTTCAGTTCTTCATGATGTTGAAGATTCAGAGAAGATGAAGATGCTTAACCACCATAGTGAGAAGCTTGCTATTGCGTTTGGGTTATTATTTATTCCCCATGGCCTTCCTATACGAGTGGTAAAAAATCTGAGGGTGTGTGGGGATTGCCACAATGCAACTAAATATATTTCCAAGATTTCTCAGAGAGAGATACTTGTAAGAGATGCTGTCAGGTTTCATTTATTTAAAGATGGAACATGTTCATGTGGAGATTTCTGGTGATACTCTTCTGTTACAGTTCAAAGCTGTGTGAACAAGATTAAAACCCAGCATGCACCGGAGGTTAACGAAGATCAAGATTTTTTGTGAAGTGGGACCGTGATGATGCCTGCTCTGCAGGATTATCACTAAAATTTTTGAGGAATCCTTTTTTTTTATCAAGGATTCTAAGAGAATGTCTTTATTATCTTGAAAGAATCAAGGATCCGTGATAGTAAAGAATGCTGGTATGTCTAAACTCAAGCTACATGTTTTTATATCTTATTTAGTTCCATTTACCATGCTATGGATGTTATTCTCATGGATGTGACTCTTATGTCATCAATGTCCCATGCCCTTCGTCTATGCATCATAAGTTGAGGAATCCCACACACACACACACACACACACACACACAACAAAATCGAGCAGAAGTGTATGACACAAAATTCTAAGTGGGATTCATAAATTATTGTCAGCCCCAAGTTGCAGCTGATAGTTCCATGTATCATCGATTATACTTTGTTAGTGAAAAAACTGTTACATTGATCAAACTGGTGAGGCTGAGAATTACCATCTAGCTGTCTATCTTTCTTAAGACACTTAATAATAACATTGCACCTCCATTTATCTGATTAAATCAATAAATAGATTCATTTGGGTTGAGAGCAGATCCTGAACTGTGTTATTAGCAGGTCTGCAGAACTCAATTTGAAAATTTGCCCAGACATGCCATACAAAGCTACAACCCACATCTGTGACAAAAGAATCAGTAAATTATTAGGGTGGTATATCACTGCTGCATCATGGAGTCTCCCTGGGCTTGCATGCTGACAACAACGAATTACCTGTCAGAAATGAAATAATAAAGAAATAGGAGTATTTCCCATTTTGGAATCGGAAGGAATATAAATATACAAAAGGTAAATCTGAAGAACACATGGATGATGAGGACAGATTTCATTCATCTTGCTGATCTGTTTTGATGGACTCTTCATGACTTTGTTGCTGGTTCTGCATCAGGTTGAAGAGAAGCTGGTTAAAGTGAAAAAAGAAGAAAAGGCATGATAGATGGCAGCCTCAGTATGGGATTAGAGAAGCTAAGAAACCCGCAACTTGCTACATATGTTAATTACTTCAGCTACAGGGGCCCAATCACCAAAGTTCCTTTCAATAAACTGATAAGCTATGCCACTCTTATCCCTTCCAACTATAAGGAGGCCACCCTTTATTTCACCTTCTCCTTTGAAGTTTTGATCAATTCCCATAGCTTTTGCACGCTTGTAATTTGCAATAGCTCGGGGGTTGAAAATAAATCCTGATATAAATTTGTCCTTAAGCAGCTGCCCACCACCAAGAGCTTTGAAGAACTCCATACTCCTATCGAAGAGCACAACACCACCCCAGTATCGAGGCCTGAAGTCTTTTATCTGCAGGCCAACAATAGCACATCAATTTTCCAGAGAGAGAGTTGATTAGATTGTGAAGCTGAAAGTTCTCTGGATACCTCTAACTCTATATGTTCATGGAGAACTGCAAATAATCGAATTCCCAGTGCATCAAATATGGGTTTTTTGGCATAAAGCTGGTGAGCTTCAGCCCCGCACATGGTGCACCTGTTTTGAAATTCACAAGTAAAATAAATGTCAATGTCATCGCATAAAGGACAGCTGACCATTCTTGAAAGTTGATTTATCCATGTTATTGGGTAGCTGTAAGACATTTGAATTTAAATATTTTTCAATACCTATTGAATGAGGTTTTGATTTCTTAAGTTTCCCACTTGTTACTCTCTCATCCAATTGTTATGTGTGATTACTCTAATAAACTCATACAGTTTGCAAATATGTGTTGTATCACATAAGTTTAGCTGATAAAGCAAGGCTATCTACACGAAAGCCACAACAAAGCAGAATACAGGTGTTTACCCAGGTCGCCTGATGCAAAGGATTACAGCTGGTTTATCTCGCCATAATTCTACAGCCTTCATTGGAGGTGTCTTGGTTTTCACCAAATGCTCCATCCCAATCTTATACTCTGGTGTTAGTTTCTGAACTGAGATGTTTTCAACAGAAGAATAAGGGGCAACACTATCAGCTACTGGAGGAGGTTGTACACAGCCACATGCTCTGAGCTCAGCTGGCCCTGCAGCTACAATCCCTTTGAAGATGTATCCATCTTTAATCTTAAAATCAGCGAGTGATTGTTCAAGTGATTTATCATAATTCACACTACTAGTGGTTTGCATCTTTTTTGAACTGACAGATGCATAACTCTTGAAATTGCTATTATTTCTGGAGACTGTGCTGTTCATTTTCCTTGCAGTGAGAGGAGCATATGATTTGAGCAAGGGATCTTCACATGCACCGGTTCTGTCCATGAAACGGGCTGTGACCTCTCTTCATCCCCAAATGAGAGGAGAGATCCCCTGTGCTTAAGCTAAGAAGCTCAGGCAAACATTTCCCAGAGGCCTCTAGCGTATCCCCGTATTGCAGCAGAGCACGATCATGCAGGTATGATCTGATTTCCAACCCATCCTAGAGTAAGAGAGAGAGAATTAGAAGTTGATAGTTTATAATGAGATGGGTCAAATTTCGACATGTTCCAGTAGTTGACAGTGAAGAAGCCAATGTTTGTTAAATAACAGATTTTGATCACATGAGAAGTGAGAAGCAAATTCTAAGTAACCAACCTTTTGCTGCCGTTTCATGTTCATTGCTTCTGTATCCGCTGAATTCATTATCTTCAAAGTCGGTATATCATCCCAACCTTCTTCCAACAACGTTGGAAGCAAGTCCTTCAAAACTCCATTACCTACAAAATCCTCCACTGAAAAGGAAGCCATTTTCCTCAGCAGCGGAGGATAGTGTGTTCTCTTGTTGCTGAACGGGGCCTGGATGAACAAGCTGATGGTGTTGTCCTCAAATATAAAATACACACCTTGAGTGTCAACTTGGACAATGTTAATGACGAAACATCGATTGGCATAAACCTTTTATGCAAGGTTTCATATCTTTTGATAAGTTCAACACACCTGCCCTAGTTGATGAAAATATTTTATAAAATCTCCTTACACCGCACGGTTTGGTGACTTGATTGACCAAGTGTTTGGATATCATCAATTATAGTTATTTTGTCCTTTTTGTATTGCATTGAACTCCATTTCCTTGTCCTGTTTACGCCAACATTTGCAATCAGGTGGTACATGTCATGAGAAAGTATGCCATATTAGACAGAGAATGGAGGATAAAGTACAAGAGGTAGAAACGATGTGAACACTAAGAACATTGCTTGGAGACGGTCAAAGGATTGCCATAGAGATTGAGAGAAAGGAAAATGAAGCGGCCCAGGAAGAACCCAAACAGTGGACGACGATAGAATATTGAAATTATAACAGAATCGACCCACAGTGGTGGTGGGTTTTCCTTTGCCGGCCGAAACCCACCTCTTTTGATAAGTGAAATTTTGTGCCAATGTTGCGTGTCTCATAGCGTCCAATGTCTTGAGAGTGACGTCATTTTTTTTTTTTGGATTTGTAAACTACTCCATCTCCCCCACTCTTTCACATCCTTGCCTGCTGCCTGCAATACGTGTGTCCAGAAGATAGAATTTGCTCCTGAAAATAAATAAAAAAAGCCGTTCGGTCCAAAAGGTTTGAGCCATTGCTTTGTGTGACTTGGGAGGCATACCTGTGCTTCAAAGCCAATTGCCGCTCTTTTCTTGAATCACTTTGGGACATTTTGGAACAAGAAGAGGGAACGATTGAAAATTTGTTGGTGGCTTCTCAGATGCCATCTTTTGTAGATCTAGTTCAGTTGTACCGGATGTTTCAAGCATCCATTCTTGTCGAAACCTCCGGTGCAGCCTTACTTGATGTTTTTGATTTGTCAATACGGAAAAGGCATTTCAAGACCAGTGCCTTTGAACTTCCCCAGAAGCATTTGAGACACCACCAAAATCTTTTTCTTTTTTGAAAATAAAAGTCAAGCCCCTGCACCTTTTTTTTTTTTTTGAATGACATGAAACTACATCGCACATGCTTTTTCTATATTATCTCATCTATTTAACTCTACCAAATGTAAAAACAAATAAATAAAGAGAATAAAAGATTTGGCTATCCATTAATGATTTCTTAGCATTCCCTAACCAACACTGAATAATTCACATGATAACACCCCAATGCTTGATGTACATTTATCATGATGAGATTACACTCAAAAGCAGAACTTGTTTGCATTCAAAAGCAGCAGTTTATTACACTAGGATTTTACATGGTATAGTGGGAAGTAGGAAAATCAGGCATCTTATTCAAATGCCTTAGGATCTTCTCAGCCATCTGCCTTGTATCAATATCTCCATGGTGGAAAGCACTGACCAAAGTGGCAGGTAGCAACCTGTCCTGTGATATATCTGAAGCAGGCCTTTTCCCTCCTTTCAGCAAGAATCTATCAATTAACCAGAAGGATTTTTGCCGCAAACCTTCGCCCTTGTGCTCTTTCACAACATTCAGAACATGCTGCATGGCGTTCACTTCACACAACATGCCAACACTCTTGTCGACATCGACTTTGTCATCTAACAAAGTACATATTGCTGACAATGCAGCTTCAACAACCTCAACATTCTCATGGTCCAAACATGCCAGCAATCTCTCCACTGCTTTTGCATCAACTAAGCAGAATGTGTTTTGCGAGGAACAAGCCCCTCTATGGACAGGGCAGACTGGTAGTTTTCTCTTCTTTGATGAACCAGAAAATAGGAATTTTGGAGGGTAGAAGAGTTTCAAGAACTTGGTTTTCTTTATTTCTGGTGGTTTTGATAGACTTATCGATTCCAATGAGAGATTCTCCAAGCCAACTGCTGCTAACCTCTGAACTTCATCACTTGATGTTTTCATGAGCATTTCTGTAAGTACTAAGGTGAAGTTGTAGTTTCTTGCTAGAAACAGAATTCGAGGTTCGTAAAGTGTGGTTGTGAATCTGACTAGAATGCCCACAAGTCCTTCCAAGTAAGGAATTGCATACCTGCTTGTTCTTATACCAGTTCTTTGGATTTGATTGATTTGTTGTAGGATTGCAGGGACTGTGTTCTTGCTGAGAAGAGCGAGATTTAGTGTCAGGCTCTGGTGGGGGAGTTTAGCAAGCAATGTTGCTGAAACTGCCTGCTTCTGTGTGAATCGGCCTGTTTCATTTTGGCCAAGGATTAGATTCTCAGGTTGACCTGCAGTTTTGCATAGTCTCTCTGCTATAGAGTGTCCCATGTAAGGTATGAGCGCTATGAGTAGCTTGATTGCTACGATCCCAAGTTCTTCATAGGGATTATTGAGGAGCTCAACCAGGGTGTTGCTTGCTTCAATCTCTTTGACCATGGAGACAATGGTGCCCATTGATTTGGGAGACTTTGTCAGGCACAAAAGAATTCTAATAAGATTGATGTTGAGTTCAACAGGAGTGGAATGTTTGATCATGTCAATGATGTTATACAGAACATAGTCTGAAGCTAATCCGTGATAATTTACTTGGAAGTTCTCAAGGTCGATCCCAGCCTCAAATATATTTGCAAGTATTGCAGCAGGTTCACCTTTTGAGTTAATTGGTTCACCATTGATTCTTCGAGTGAGCATCTCTTCAACCATGATTTGAATAATTCCAGATTTTGCAAGTATTTTGGCGTTAGGATGGTAGGATGAAATCTGTGCTAGAGCTTTGAATGCCGCTGTTCTGGTCATAGTGTTTCCACTATGCACCATTTTGATGAGAGCAGGAGAGGCCCTCTCAGCCACATAAGTTTTGCTGTCATGTCCTAGCGCAATTTCCCCAAGGTATTCTGCCATTTCTGTCTGCATCTCCTTAGTACCTGTTTATTTTGAATCTTCATTGACTTTGTTGTGAGAGCATATTTATTTGAATGTACATAAGGAAATTATTTTTTATTAGTTAAACCATCCAGAAAAACCAAGTGAATTTGTTAGCCGCTATCTTCAAAAAAAAAAACTCTTCTGCCATTCTGTACTTGCTATGCTTTTGGTGAGTGTGAGAGTATTGGAAGTTACCTTCAGTGAGATGCTTTAGAAGGGGTTCCAAGAATCCATTTTCCGCCATCATCTTGATATTTTCTGGAGACCTCTCTAGATTCCTTAAGATTTCATCTGCTGTTTCTGAAGAGAAGGCATCGACAGACAGATTATATTTAATTCTGATCAGCATCAGAATTCCTCCAGGAACTGACCCAATCTTTTCCCATAATGATTGGGACCTTGATATCTCAAGTAATAACAGTAATGCCGCATGCCTTATGGGCCAGTGACCAATTGACATCATCTTGATTACTGCTGAAATGTCGACCATTTCAGAAGTCACCATCTGCACAAAAAATCACCGAAGTTGAGTTATAATTCCTTTCAGTGGGTTATTTCTAGACAAAATTGTATTCACTCATAGTTAGATTCAATTCAGACCAATGAGAACAATTCGAATTACTGAAGCTTCTTTGAAAGTTTCAGCCATGGTTTGGTCAATTATAGTAGTCTTGTAGCTAAACAATTGCAGGTGAGGTTCCTTACAGGCCAGTGACTGATTCACATCAAAGCCTCCCGCCAAGGGAATGGCTTAGTGGATTATGAGTTGGCCAGTGATTAGCAGTCCTTGCGCAAAATAGGGTGGAGAAATTTAGGTTTGTCGTTGAAATTGATCAATTTTTGAACCAGATGATATTAGCAGGAATTGGTAACCAAGTAAAATTCTCTCTTTCTACATCGCTCCATTCTCAAAATTGTGAGAACGGAAACATATCTGCGACCTCAAATTTCCTCCAGATGACTTGCTAAGAACATGGCAAACGCCCACAAACACACACATACTCTTATCCTTTTTCTTTTATTTATGATATTACGTAACAAATTTAGGAAAAAAGAGCTGAACCTTGGAATCATCGTCCTCTTTGGTCAATTCTCGTAATAACTCCAGCGCTTCATAGATAACATCTCTATCTCTGTACTCCAGAAGCTTAAATAGCAATGGAAGTATTCCAGCATTGTGAACTTGTATCTTGCTATGTTGTTTCCTTTTGCAAATTTCTTGCAAATCTCTTATTGCTTCAAGAACCATACTTGGTGAAGCGGACAAAACTAAAGCTGAACGTGAACATTTTATCCTTGCCACTTCATTTCTTTCTTTCCATTCCTCTATTGTGGTCTTCAGAGCTACGTTTGTCCTTAGAACTCTACTCAACAGCTTCTTCCCTGTAATTGGGCAGAAAATTTCTTGTGAGTTATCGGACTCTTCCAACCACTTGGTAATTGCTTTCCTATCATATGTCTCTCCACTTTGTATGGTAACTGGATCATCCATAATCTGCTTTGTTAACGGACAGAAGAAAGTTTCATACATTGGCTCTATGTACTCGGTCATCTTTAGCAATGATGTTGATGAGCTGCTGCTGCTGCATTTCCTTTGCCTGTTGAGAGTTGTGGGTTTCTGGATTTCTATGAAGTGCGGGGTATTTAAGAACCGGGAATTACCTGTGGACGCTTCAAGACTGACAGGGTAGAGATCCGATTCTACCATTACAGGTTCTTCATTTGGTTCCTCCTCCGAGAAAGACTTGTGTGGATCCAGCTCTTTGATCTGCAATACTTGGCTTTGGCCAACTTCAAAATGAGCACTTCGCATTTCATTTGAAAGAGCTTGGACAGCAACTTCTGCATATTCTTGGTCCTGAAATGTTGATGAAGGTATCGAGCTCAAGCATTCGCCCATGTCTTCTATCACCCTTTCCAGAAGTGATATGGTGCTTTTCAATTCAGAATCAAAATTTGAGTTGGTGCCTCTTTGACATTTGTTTACAAGATCCTTGGCCTCAGTGATGCTTCTGGATAGGGATTGAAGGATCACCATTGCATTTTTTGGGGTGTGCTCAGTTGTCTGCAACTCCATTATGACTGGGAAAACTCGGTAAAGGTAGCATCCAATTTCAGCAAAGCTTTCCTTTTCTTGTTCTATGCAAGTTACAGATTCAATGATCTCTGAAATTGATATCAGCAAGGATTCAGCAACACTAGCCATAGCAGTTGAATCTTTGCTGAGCTGTAGAAACCGAAAAAAAAAAAAACAAGAAGAGAAGATTACCATACCTCTCAAGATCAGATGCTTTTTTTTTTTTTAAGTTTGATTACCGGCATGAAACTTCAATTAAGAGCTTAGGAACTCAATTCAAGATTAGGTAAATTTGTAGATTCCATTTAAGCAGGACACTGAATTTAGAGAATATTCTCAACCAGGTAATAGTTTAAACTTACCCAAAATAGGGCGGGAAAGAGAAAAACACAACCACTTCGATGCCATAGCATATTCATTTTGAGAAAACATGCAAATGGAGGTAGGATGTCAAAGAATTTCTTCTATCCTTCTTTTCAATGAATGAGAATATGAAAGCATGCTCTGGTGCTTTACTGACATTTTAATTCCTTAAAATCTGAAGTTTCTAAGTGATTATATTGTCCATGGTTCTGGACTTGTTGCACAAATTGTGCTTCAAAACAAAACAAACGTAACTAGCGGAAGTTTAAGGTCACCAGATTGATGTGCCCGTAAAAAAGAAAAAAGAAAAAAGAAAAAAAAGAACCTGAATTTGATAGCTGACGAGTATTTGGCAGGCTACTCCCTCTTTTGTTTGAAAATGGAATTTTTGAAGCCAAAATCTCTTGAACTCTTTCCACCGAACTCTAATCCTGCGAACCAGATCAAACGCAGTGGTGTATGCACATGGAGGTTGATTTAAAGCTTAATTCAGTTCAAAATTTTGAGGCTTACTCAAACTTTTAAATACTAGACAGAAGCAAGATACAATTGACAATCACATACCGACATCGAACCAGAGCTACCACTTCTGATGCCTTCTAGATACATACACTTGACCGGTCTCTACTTGGGTAAGCAGCAACTTAGTCTTGTTGTAGAAGGCATCCCAGAAGACGATATATTTTACCAATGAACAAGTCTCTGATAGCTTATTTATGCTATTGCTAATCTTACCAGCAAGTGATTTATGTTCGCAGAATGCTATAATTTACTGGCTAACTCCAACGGCTGAATATAATAGTACTCGTATTTTGGATTGTGACAGTATACTTTCTATATCGATGCTTGAGATAAACAACTTTTCAAAGAAAGCTATAAGGCATAGAAAAAGAAGACTCATTCAGCTGGCTGTACTGGGACATGGGGTGTCAACAAATTGCATGTAGTTTGGTTTAAGGTCACTATCCGACTTTAGCAGGTAACCTTCAAGATGTAAGCTTCATGGTTCAGTATTTGTTGCAAAGTCAATATGCATTTTCTCAGTCAAGTAGACATCTCTATTTCCAGATGCTGCAGCGTTAAGTAGAATCATAATTTCATTGAAGTTGGAGATGATTTTATGCTGTTATGGCAGATATATCTGCTTTTAATCTCCCAACTTGAGTACATTCAAGGTACTGATTTGATCATGCCGGCACTCTTCTGATCTGATGTTTGGAGAAGGGTTGGCCTTTAACAAAAAAAAAAAAAAAGGACTTGCTGCAGGGGATTAAACAACTGCTTTGACTTTCAGTACCGTGTAAAATTTCCTAGTGGTAGGATTAGTCAATCTACCTGGTTGTATTTTATGAAACTCGCTGAATTCAATGTGATTCAGATTAATTTACTTTTTTCTCTCGTACGTCATGGCAAAAGATAATCCCTTTCTTTTTCCAGAATTTGTAACTAATTGGGTTAAGAGGCATCTGCGCGCAGCGAACAGGACAAAAAACTGTCCTTTCAGAGACCAAAAGGCTAGTTTTGTAACTGTGTTGGTAAGAATGCTAGCAATGCACTGATCAATGGCACTGGGATCATGGCATTGCCTGCAACCATGAAGGTTCTTGGACTTGGCCTTGGGAGCTGTGCTCACTGACTGTTCTGTTGAGATGCTCTTAAGTTGTAGTAAGGCTGGAAAGGCGGGAGACTTATGGTGGGCTCCTGGGTGATGCATTTGGGAATACTGGGAGAAGAGTGCTTCAGCTTTTTGTGATGCTTAACAACGTCAGGGTCCTCATTGTTTACATGAGTATCATTGGTAAGTGTAACTGCATATGAATCTTGATAATTGGTTTGATAATTATGAATTTTGCATTTTAATTCGTGGGTTTGAGACAATTGTGTGAATTACGTGCTTCACTTTAATTTAGTCTGATGGTTAAGAACAGGGATATCTCAGATTGAAGTGGCTGTTATTTGCTGATATCTATAAGGGTGTCCAAGTTTATGGGGCGCATCAGTGTTTATGAAATTGATCATTGTTTGCTAATCATGCTTTTCCATTTCTTTTGTGGTTTTGAGATTAACATGTAAACCGGGTGATGCAGTTCTAGATAGTTGTTTTGCATACGAGTAGAGGAGTCAGTAGGCAGTGTACTAATTATTAGCTAAGCTATTAGAAATGTACCAATTATCAGGGATCTGGACCTAAATAACTGATTGCGGATTGATTTTTCTCATGTCAATTATATGTTGCGCCATCAAACTCCTAATTTTGGAGATGCTAAATGGAATAGGATTATAAATAACATGTACTATTAAAGTGCTTTTATTTTCAAAACCCCCCAAAATTACAAACATAAAAGCTGGAAGCTCTTAGCAACAGTGAAGCAGTGCAGCTGACAGCATGTGATGGCAGCTCTAAAATTGCAATACATGCCTAAAGTTGCTGAGCCAAAACTTCAGTGGGAGATGTTGCTGGAAAGTCCTGATTTCCATAGTACGAAATTCTTGTGGTTGTAAAATGCATTTTGTTTCTCGTCTTCTTTCCAACAATTAGACAAGTTCAAATAGTCTTGCATGTTTCAATGGTTTACATGACAAGCTGATGTGTTGTCTGGAACATCTTTGTGTGGAGTTCATCATGCTGGTGCATGGGAAGAATGGTTTGGAAACCACTGGTGGAATGGCCGTGCCTTTCTTCTTCTTTTCATTACCCTTTCTATATTTTCTCCACTGGCATGTTTCAAGCATTTGGGTCAGTGTTAAATAATTCTGTCGTTTTTTTCTATATATTGCTTAGATTAATAAGAAATCGATAGCACAAACCTCTTTGTTGTGTAGCGCTGACGGTTTCTTTCAAATGAAAGCAGATTCGTTGAGATACACATCTGCCCTAGCTGTTGCACTGGCAGTTGTTTTTCTCGTTATTACTGCAGGAATCACTGCGGTTATATTGGTTAATGGAAGTGCTACCATGCCCAGGTGCTTCCTAATATTGCCAATATCACTTCATTTTGGAGTGTTCCCTGTGGTTCCCATTCTTGATATAGTATTCATCTGTCATGTTAATGTTGGGTAGGCTGATCTTCATATCCTCTAAATTGCTTGGTCTGTGGGTTTGATTTGGGCACATTAGTATTATCCTTTTGGCAGATGTGTAGAAGTAATTTCTTTACCGGTTCTTTCCACGAAAATTGGTCAAAAGATGCCTATTGCCCCCGGGGATAGGGAGTGACTAGGCTTATCTGGGCTCATCTGTCTATTCTCCAAGACCAGGTACTTGACAAGTAGTTATTTTTAGGATTAACAATTTGATTCCTTAGTGCACGAGCTGTACAGAAACTTATACCTTTTTGGTTGTATGATACTTGATAGATAGAAGTTTATGTCCTGCCAGTAGGAGTCCCTGGGAAGGTTTAGCCCCTTGCTGGGAGATGTGTTGATGTCGGGACAGCCATGCTTAGAGAATAAGAATTACTATGATAGCATGACGAAAAGTTTGTGTCTTGATTTCTGACATTAGTGGATGGGAAGGCTTATACTATAGCAAACTCCATCTTGTATTTGGTAGCATTTGTTATGCATAGAGTATGGTTACTGGATTAGTGTAAGGCCTGAGATGCCTGGGATTGGTACTTCCTTCTCCCTTCTCTGCTGTGAGGGGAGAAGCTGACTTAAATGATCTTCAATATTTTGACTCAAGCTAAGCATTCTGTAGTTAAATGAATTATATTATGGAAAACCTCAATAAGAAAATACATCTTCTGCAGTTTATACTATTGAAAATGAGCTTCAAGATTCCTCTATGATACAGCCAGTTGTGCAGACTTCATTAGCTCTATTCCCAGCTGTCCATATAATGACAAACTTCTTTGGCTTCCTCCTATTTGGTGACTCAACCCTTGATGATATGTTGGCCAACTTCGACACTGACCTTGGCGTTCCTTACAGCTCTTTGCTCAATGATATCGTTTGCATCAGCTATGCTTTGCATCTCATGGTTGTTTTCCATGTGATCTTCCGTCCACTGCGCCTAAATCTGGATGGTCTTCTCTTTCCTTCAGCCACGCCATTGGTTTCAGATAACCATAGGTTTTCATTAATCATCACAGCACTCATTTCTCTCATCTTCTCGGGTGCAAACTTTATACCCAGCATCAGGGTTGCTTTCCAGTTCACTGGAGCAACTTCTGCAGCGTGTCTTGGATTTATTTTTCCAGCTGCTATTGCTTTGAGGTGAGTAATTTAACTCTAGCTCGGAGTTGTGATTACGCATATATATCTTTCGAATTTCAGAACAAAAGAGGAATACATTTCACATTATAGTGTTCATAAATATTGCATATGAAGGCCTTAAAACCTCTAAGATGGGATTCTAGTGCTTAGATTTTTTTTTTCATTCTTTCTCCAAACATGTGAGCACCTTTATCTTGGTTGGTGGGTCTGATTCTATGTTGGCTACCATATATCCCAAATTCGTATCCATTTCGAAGTTTCAGTGCACTTTGATTGCATTCAAGACTAAAAGCTGATATTGCTTCCAATTTGTTAGGTGGTCTATCTAATATCTTGTTCATTTGTTGGATCAAACCTACGATCTTTCAGAGATCCCCATTTCGCAGCAGCAAAGAAGGGTAAGGTCATGTCTGTCATCGTTATTTTTCTTGCTTTATTCTCAAGTTTGGTGGCTATATACAGTGATGCTTGTGCCCTATTCAGAAGAAATCCCTCTCCACATGCATGATTTCTTGGTCTTATTATCTGCTTGAAGATCTCGTGTGAATGTCAAGCAGACACAGTGAAACATGCAAATTTTTTGGGAACTGCTTATGTAAAAATCCAGATCTTTTCCTCACTGGAGTGTTCTTCAAGGCCGAAGGTGCTGGTGGCAATTCGTACAACTTTTGATTCATGCTTAATGACACCTGGACCCTTAAAGCTTGTTATGGTTAATTAAAAAGATAATAGATTGGTCTTGCTGTGCTTGTAATAAATTTTGCGGCTTTGGATCCAACTCATGGCAAGAACAAACCTATAGCCAGTCTATGCATCCATTTATAGATCCTATACAACAATTGATACAAAGGTGGCAAAACACCACGAAAGAGACATGTTCGTCATCCACTAGATTGCTTTCCCTGTCGACGTGATTATTTTAAGAAATCTAAGTTAAATCTGTTGCAGTTATCATCTCTGAAGATATGGCAACCGAAGCTTGCATCCATCCTCAAACTGTTTAAATGACTTCATCAACATAATAATCCATTCCCGCACGAAGCTTCAATTCCATTTTACACCGAGCCAACTAATGACAAAGCAGCTTGCTTAATAATGAGTGTCGATCCTTCAAGCCATTGAATGTCGCATCATGCTATTTCTTTATCTTTTTACACAGCAGATACAGAAGGTGCCATTTATCACTTGTGTAGCAGGACGGTGTCACGGATATCTCCAGCTGATAATTAATAAGTTCCTGTGCTTGGATATGTACAAAGGTGCCAATTGGATACCAAATGAGGGGTAGCCATGCCTCGAGCTTCTATTCTTCTCAACCTTTTCTGCTCAATGCGGTTTAGGGTTCTTTTATCAGAGACTAAACCCATTGATAAGCAAGTACAGCTGCCATCACCTTGGGACCAAATGCCAGAGGCGCAGAGTACAATTTTAAGGTAACTGACAAGGTTAGTGTCCAGTTCAGACTAGTTAAAGAAATAGGTTGATTGCAGGACATCTCTTAGATCAAAGTCTCCTCGCTCAGGTAAGGGAGGAAATTTCAAGTTGGGGAACGAACTTTGGAAGCTTTCCAATAACTGCAAGCACATAAACAAACCAATAAATCTGATATCATCACTTAACATGTAAGATTCTCGGTTTAAAAATAATAAATTCTCGGTTTAAAAATAATAAATTTCCTGTTAAGATCACAAATCACCAGATAGAATCAACAAATGCATCACGAGCTGCAAAGAGAGCATAAATTTGTAGGAATGCCCTCCCATTTCATTGCTCACCCAAGGAATAGAATTCTCAAAATTTAGAAAACTTCAGAAAACTATTTCTTTAAAGCCCATAAAAGTAACAGTAGGTTCAAATTGTAATGTACTTCAGTTCATGTTGGAAAGCTAAAGTAACCAATTGAAAGGTCTGCTCTCTCCCAAGGACATGACTTCCATTGCAACAGGTGTGAGCTCATGTTTTATAGATAAAGATCCAAGCAGAATTTTTTATAGAACAATTTACCTACTCTGGATCATGGTCATCAACTACTATCTTACATGTCAAGTCATTTTAAAAGAAAACAAACACTAGCAGTAAGAACTAGTGAAGCACAAGCTTGAACCATGTTAAAACCGAGAAAACAATTACTTCCTTGGGGGAGTTTAATAATATAAGGTTTGATGAGCTCATTGATAAAGATACTTTACATTCTCTAGTATTGGCGTCTCATAGAGTTCAACAAACTTTTCTCTCAGAATCCTGTTCATTTCATCAACATCGCATGCATGCGTCCAGTATGAATCATGGACCCCTGTAAATAGACATCAAAATTAAACAATAATATATCCCAAAAAATTTTAACAGGTGTCTGGAGGGAGAGAGAGAACTGCTAACCCACACAAACCTGCAAAGTTCAAACCTGCCTCTTTGCAGGCAACAGCAGTCATCATCATGTGAGAACCATCAAGGGAGTGGACAAAATTTGGAGGAAAGGCTGTCCTTTGCCGCTTGACCATGACCTGTACCAATCACAAAATTGTGTAATCAGTAACTGAGCGCAGCATGAAGCTGTTCTTTGCCCCTTGCCCACAGATTTTACATCTCTTGCTCTCTTTTTTTACAAGGATTAAAATCAAAGATCTGGTGCCCTAATCAAAGATACAATCCACGGTTTGTTGAAGCTTATCAGAAAAACACAGGAAAAAAATCTCTGACACTACCTTGTCAGTTTCTCTTTGTAGCGTCAGCACCTGAAGGGAAGTCTTAATCTACATATAAATCAAGAAAGCATCTTAGTCACCTTCAAAATAAACGTTGGTTTTCTACATTCATTATATAATCGAAAACAACAAATAAGCCAATTGAAATTAGTATTAATTTCTTAGAACATTACAAGCTGCCTTCCCAACTGTCGATAAGGCTGTACAACAGGGAGTCCAAAAGGAGTGGTCCACTGCACAGGCTGATTCTCTGAAGCTATCACCTGTTTATATTACGTTCAGCAGTCAGAAATTCCAGAACACAGCAAGATTTTCTCAAGCAGGGCAAAGCGTTGATGAGAGCAAATAGCTATATTTAACTGGAAACTCAAAAGTTTCTGAAAATCTATTAAGCTTGAGCGCTGATGATACAGTTTGCATATTACATAGAACATTATCCATTGGGCAAGTAACTAAGTTCTATAACATCTTTCCTCTATTCTCTTCCTTTACATTTATTGTTGAAAAGATTAGAATCATGTATCTACTCAACTTATCCCACCCTTCAGCCATTGGAAACAATGTCCACAAAAACAATTCAACTGCCTTCTTGTAACACAAAATCTCTCCTGATTTATATGATCATGCAGTTACAAAACATGATCTGAATATGGAAATGATCTGGCAAAGAAGCCATATATGACAGTTGGTACTGGATACTGAAGGCAAATGGGAAACTATCAAATGAGAGGTAGAAAAATTGGCTTGAGATGAAATAATAAGAATTGATTTAATCTCAAAACATCCCTTTGATAAGACAATTCAAGATAAGGTGGCATTAAAAACAGGATTCAGGTGACCAGCTTTAATGAGTCTAGAAGTCTGAAACTAAGGACATTGTTGAATTGATTATGCTTATCCCCACATTGACCATCTAAATCCATTAGAAGTCTGGAACTAAGGGAATTGTTGAATTGAATATGCTTAATCCCACATTGACTATCTAAATCCATCAAAGCCCATTAATGATATAACTTAAGCAGGTCATAAATGAGATCCAAAGTGGGGCCAAACCTTTTCCAACCCATTAAATAAATTACCGGATCAGGATGTCAGGGGATACAAGGAAAAAGAACACGACCAAAATGGAGTGCCATCAGGATTCCATATGTGGGACCCCCCATCAAATGACAGGGCAAAAACTACCCTCCGATGCAAAGCAAATGATAGCAGGATAAATGAAACATGCCTTTGCACATTCTCCAAGCCAAGCCATAATTCCTCTCGCGCCTTCAAACATCTCTTCTAAAGCTGTCAAGGTACGTCAAACATCTCTTCTAAAGCTGTCAAGGTTGTCTGTTCATGTGGTAAAATAATTAAAAAAATCCTCCTTTACTGGCATACACAAACGCACGCCACTTACTTTTGCTGCATAGCAAGCTGCAGAATACAGCTGTGGATCATCAGCGATGTTACAACGCTCTTTTAACCTCCTTTTGATTTGGTCACGGGCACCAATATAAGTAACCCCATACACTGATGTCATCACTGTCTGCTTCACCAACTTCCGGTCCACCTGGGTTCCAGTAATGAAGGAAAGCTGTTAGCAATATATCATAGGGAGTCGTGCAAGCATGCCCAAGAATGTTTGGCTACAAAATGAGTCGCCTGATCCTACAACCTAATTAATTATGTATGTGTATGTTGTTAAAACTGAGGAATCGTTCATAAATTTAGCAATTCAAACAGTGTTAAAATTGAATAATCTCAGGCATATTTAACACCATTAATAAACACAAGGCAGGCAGAAACCTGATTGATTAAAAGCTTAGCATGCACTGAATTTGGATTAATTGCAGGGTCAATTTCTGCATCTCTTCGCATGATATCAAGAACTCTACATCAAAAACAACAATTGTGTTAAACATTAGATATGCTAACAAAACAACACTAAGTAATTTTCAATGTACAGCTGAACATGAGTTGCTGGCAGTTGTTCCAGAAGCAATACATATGATGAAATTCCAATAATTCCTACTACATTGAATTAAAGTGACATTTAAAAATCACAGATACAGATTGCTGTCATAACCAGATTCTGGTATTCCAGGATTTACTATGGTATTACCCTATTTTTTTTCAGACAGTCAGCCTGCATACTCCCCGTGGATACATGTCAAAATCCAATTTAAGTAAAAAGGTTCACCCACTGCCCAACCATAGCAAGGCTTCTTAGCCATCATATTGTAGTTGGCTGCCCCAACCACCTTCACTATCCCTGCCCCAATTTCCACAGAGATGCAGTAAGAGAAAGAGCCCACCTGGCTGCAATTCCTGAGTAAACATCAGCGGGTTTTCCTCCTCCAACTAGATTTACTGCAGCTGCTCCCAACTGATAAATAGTTCAATTCAGTTTATTGCTTAATGTAAAACTTAAGAGAAGTACAACAAAATCACACCATGCACTGGAACATGTGATGCTTCCAATTCAAACAAAGATTAGAAATCCTTGGTCATAGTTGTGCATTCAAAAACACTTAAATCATGGTTCTGGCAGAGTATAAGTTCTGTAAGGAAAATTTATGAACCTTGATGCAAAATCTAAAAAGTTCCAGATTTCCAAATTTAGGATCGGGAGATGTTTTGCAATTTTCTCAAGTCAATGTGAACAAAAACTATTTTACCTTGTCCCTTCCAAGGGCAGCATAGTGTTGCAAGCCATTGCACGAACCATCCTTGGAAAAGGAAAAAAAAAAGGAATTATAAGAATAAATTCTTGATCATGGTATGTTTCTGTACTGCACATTCAATATGAAAAACGATATCACAAAGAAAGCAAAGGTTTAATATAAAGCCTCTAAACTTCTTTGAAGACAATACAGCAAGCATCAGCCAATGAATAACATTGAACCAACAAGTCTGCTCCAGAGCTCATCGCAACTCTTCATATGCAGTCATCAACTTGATTTTATCACAGAACTCAATAGCAGTAACAACAGAGAGAAAAGGTACCTGGTGAACAGGTGTATGTGAAATAGCAGTCTCTGGAGAAGGGCTTCTCAAAGCTTCTGAAAGATTAATGCATACTGCCAAGCATTGAAAAGGATCCTCCGCACCCAACCACCAGCGTTGTCCTTCAAGAGGTCGGTCAGCGGAATCAAAGATATCATCCAGATGATTCTCAGTAAATGATATTCGACCATCATAGGATAATTTGTCTACACCACCAGCATACAGATTTGCTAAATGTATCTTCAGCCAGCGCAAACCAGACTTCCCAAGAGGTCGCCCCTCTGCAAACTCAAGGATGCCCCGGCACACATCAGAGCCAAGATGGTTCAAATATGGGTGCATAGGGTAAGCACGACCCCGAAAATCAACGTTGTGTGGATAGTAGAAGCCTTCCTCGTCCTTCATCTTTCTAGCTACCTGCTCCAAGTTATAGCAATTTAACAAGCCATCTACAAAAACATGCATACACTTGTTATTTGCTGAAACAAGGGAGCTTCTTACCGCAAGTTTTAGTTCCACATCACAACGCTGTGAATGTCGCTCACTGTTCTCCTTTTTCACACTTTTAACTTTCCACCTCCATTTCCGAATTTCAGCCTCATCTTCTGTTTGTGGCTCCTCGGGCAAAGGAACCTATCAAGTTTTTATAAGTGAAAAAAAAGGAGTTCGAGGGGAGGGATTCAATAAAAGAAAGGAGGGAATGAGAAAGAACTGGCATGAGCAGTGTTAAATACTATTCTAAATGAAAATTATATGAACTTCAGCTCGTATAAATAACCCACATCTTCACGGTCAACCAAGCCAGCAAGACGGCCTCCACTAGCCCATATTCTATCAATTACTGCAAGAATCCTTTTATTTACTCTCCACTTGGTATTTCCAAGAGTATCCAGGGCCTGATTCATCCCAAAAAAAAAAAAGAATTATAGTGAGAGTGAGGGTGCAAGCATGAAGCTGGATACAAATCATCACCATTCATCAAGAAAATGTGTCAATTAAAGTGACATGGTTGTCAGTGGAAAATAGATAGAATCAACTCAAGCAGTGATTTCTAACCTTAAAAACAGGCTCTAATTGATTCCTTGAAGCCCTTTTAATTGCGACACGTTGTTGTTTTGCTCCATGGATTCGCATAACATAGGATGGTAAGAAAAAGTATGCACCTTGGTCATACCTGTCAAATTATTGCAAAGGTTAGGGGGAAAGAAACCAGCACCCCCAATGATATTAATGTCTAGCTAGCTGTCTTAAAGAAGATTTGACAAGGTTGGTCTTGTTATTTTATTTTGTAAAGCAGTAAGCTTGACAGCACAATATTTGACCAAGAACAAGTGAAATAAAACAAATTATTTTTAATAATTATTCTTACAAGGAGAATATATCACTACTTAGAACCAGGTTGTTCCATTAAACTAGATTTAACTAGAAACTTTGCACACGGATTGGTATAAACAAAAAGAAAAAGGGTCAAAAGATAGAATTGAAACTCATACCCTGTCCAGTTTAGAGGAGGCACCAGCATTGGCATATAAGGGATGACCATGTGCCTAGCCTGTTCAGATGACAAGAATTAGTATCATCACAATACCTAAAGGAAGATATAATCTTTAAACATAATCAAAATAGATATTACCAGAGCCACAGCAGCATAAACTGTAGTTACTTACAGATTTTTCAAGGCCTTTGCGAACAAGTGGATCACACTCAATAACACCGTATCTCCTACTACTTTTCCTATCCAAATGTAGGCCAAAAAAAATTTAGATGGTGATATGCAAGAGAGAGAGAGAGAGAGTCATAGATTCCAATTTCTCACTGTGTATCTTTTGTGATGGTTTTAAGGGTATGCACAAATGCAGGGCGAATATCAGGCGGACCACCTCCTAGTTGATCAATTGGAGGTTGTATATAGGCAGTTTCTATCATTAATTGAATCAAGCGAGAGCCAACCTGGGATAGGTAAGCATCAGAGTAAATGCAGAGAAAAAATGACACTCTTATGCAACTACATTTACAGCAAGAGATATCACGAACCTTCAGATGTGCTTCCTGACCCCAAGGAAATGAATCATCATGACCCTTCACAATTCGCCTTACTTGATGAACCTTTTGTTTTTTCATCAGTGTAGTTACTTTTTTCCTCAGTTTCTCCTGTTCCTTAGTTAGTTTCTCTCCTTCATAAATAGCAGCACCAGACTCACCTTCAGATATCTTGTCTTTCAAATTCTTCCTCTTCTTTGTCTTCTCCAAAAACTTGTGTATCCTCGCCTGATCCACACAAGAGATAATTGCACACAAGCTCTCAATAAAAGCCAGGAAATACAACATACTGCTTAGTAATAATCATGAAGTCATTAAATTATGTCTCTAAACAAGCAGTTATTTACTTTGCTAGGTGAAAAAGAACTGCAATTTGTGTAATTCTTAACCAAACCGTAAGTGCATTTTTAATTAAAGTATATCACAAGAAGAATATTAGAAATTCATGTGGAGATGCCGATCTTGAAAGCACCTACCTCTGTTGGTTGTACCCTGTGCTTAAGCAGGAACAACAAGAAGATACTAAGTAGACAGTCTCCAAAAGAATTGTATGCTTTACCATATGACAGACAGGGAAACTATGTGAAATCATTCATTCATTCATTCAACAAGAGATTTGAAAGCAATGCAAATCATGCTTTGCACCTCAACTCATTTGTTTGGTCAACAATGATGATTCTTGGTTTTGACTGATTCCTGGTTCTACGGGCTTGATGTTTTCTGTATCTTCATTTCTTTTTTATAAGAAAACACAAGAAAATATTTTTTGATGCTTCTATTGTATGATCCTTCCAGAAAAGGGAAGCACCCCATTCCTTTATCTTTTATCCTTTTGTTTTGTTATAACTGGTCAAATCTTATTCTTCAAAAATATGGTCTTTATATTCTGTTGCAGAAGATTGATCGGAGTTCAAGAAATTCCTAGACAAATCACCTCTGGCACCTTAGACGGTACCAATAAGATTGATTTTCTTCTTTAAATCTAAATAATTTTTAATAGCATATCCGAATAAATGTAGAATTATACAACAACAAATAACAAGAAATCAATTTAATAAATAATCAGAAATATCTGAATCCTACACAAACTAGTTATCGCATGCCATATGAACAAGATGAACAAAAAATGCAGTAACCATTACCAAAAAAAAGACAACAAAAAAAAAATAACTGCCACGCAAGTTTGTCATCACGGGATTACTAAACACTAAAAGAAGTCTATCTTGAAAATTGAACCTTCTAAAATGTGCTACCTGAAAGATATATACTGATGTTATGAAGAAACATGAAAAGGTATTTGAATATCGAAATAGAAGCACAGTATCCTACAGTTTGCGGGAAACATTTAAAAGAGCTTTACAGACACAAATGGAGGTATTGAAGGGTTGGGAGAATAGAGGATGAGTTATCTCATGGAATTCAACTAAAGGGCCAGATTTCTACACAATCCAAGAAAAATGAATACTTCTAATGAGTTTCAATCTAACATTCCTCCAGCCACATGCTTTTGTGTTCTCTTTACCAAACATTTCCAACTTAAAATAGAAACAGAAACAACAGTATTGTGATCCTACATATATAATAAAATCCAACTAAACTACACAAACAAAACACTTCACTGAAAAAAATAATTAAATTTCTAAGTCATTCACCTCATTTTCAATTGCTTCGCCAACAACAGATGCAGCTTGAACCACCCTAATATTGGCAGTCCCTCCATTACCGGTCATCAACAACCCCATCAACTTATGCATAGTAATAACTGCCATCATATCAGCCGGCAAGTCATTAAAATAGGCTCTATGAGGAACCCTGGAGTTCACCTTACACAATTCTTGCTCTGCAAGAATTGCATCCCTCAGAGGCTCAAACCAACCAAGAAACAGAGACTTTACATAAGGCAAATTAGGTGCCAGTTTCTGCTCGCACATGTCCTCTAACATCTCCTGATACTCTCGTGCCGTCTGTTCCCATGCTTCTGTCTCCATCTTTACTTGCCTCCTTTTAAGAATGGTATACTTTCCAATCCCCATACCTGCCATCATTTTCTTCTGTTGTGGCATAAACTGTGACTCCAGTTTCCGGAAATTCTTGTCAATTTCCTCCATTGATCCTTGAAAGTCATCAGACCAAGAAAGGTCCGATTCATCAGTCGAAGAAATCACCTCTGCAGCTGCTGCGGTGGCATACCCCTTGAAGAAACAAGGGGAGAGACGAAAAGACTTTGTTAAATCACCATAACTAGGATTGTCCAATTTGTGATGTTGAGGTAAAACGCCAACCTGACGAGAACCCAGAAGAGAAAATGTTGAATTTAGGCATGTTTTGGTATCTGGGCATCTGAATTTTTCAATAAAGGTTGATTCTTTAAAGAGATTACGAAAGCTTGAGATAAGTCTCAGCTTTTTAGAAGGAGCATATTTGGCTAAGGTTCTCCACATGATGTAGAAAGGAAGAAATTTGAATGAATGATTTATTATTATAATCTAATTGTAGTAAGAGAAGGTGAAATGGCAGTGAAGATAATAATGGGCATGGACAAAGACTTGAAGGGGAGTGAGAAGAACTGTGAATTAGACAGAGCGGGGGTGATGAAAGGGAGACTGTGAAAATAATCAAAATCACTGAATCGTTGGGGGTGGGGGGGTGGCGCCGGGGGTCACGCCACGCCGCCTTTAAACCCTCCTTAAAACCCATGTGGGATGGGCTTTTTCCATGAAGTTGGACTTATGGAGCCATGGACCATCAAAGTTAGGAGGAGTTAACGGTTGGTGAATTTTTATCAATGAGAGAGAAATTTTATTTGATTGTTTTTAAACATTAAGAATGGAAAAGAAATTAAAAAAATTAAATTTGGTGGTTATGGAAGTTGGAGTTTCAAGTATAAAAATATATAGAAGAATGTGATATTTGATTAGAATATGATTGATATGGGAAAAAAAAATTGGTTTTTCAAAAAAGGAAAATAATTTGGATCTTCATTGATACAAACAAAGAAGAAGTTATTGTTTCGAAAAGAAATTGTGAGACTGGCACAAATTGAAATTGAAAAGCTTGATTGGTGGGATAGAATTTCATTTTTCTTAAGAATTTATTCTGAACATGTCACAGAACAGAAGTTACTTGAGATTCTGAAGCCTTTCTTTCCTGTTGTTGAGGGTCATGAGATCTCTCTTATAAGTCTGTCGAGCTAACTGATTTAACTGTTAATAAACTGCTCTAGCTTGAAGTCCATCTTCTAGAGAGGTTAGCATCGTACGGTGCACTCTTTAAAAGGAGTCATGCTGCCTGGTTATTTTCAATTTAAATATTCAGTACAAGAATTTTCAGCATCGAAAGAAATCACCCATTCTCATCTCCTCGAATGTCTTTCCTTTTATTCTTCTTTTTCCTGGGAGATACTAGCACTACCCTTGCCATTGTTTTGGCATTTTAAATCGGACACTTCAGAAAACCCCAGTAAGCTTCGAAGCACCTTGAAACGATGGCAAGGCTAAATATGAATCTGCTCTCTTGCGTTGAAGTAAATCACCTTGCTAAGCTTGCCACAAGCAACTGAAAAGGATACCTGTCGGTTTCTTTGGATTAAATAACAAATCTCGGTTCCCAATCGTGTCCGAGAGAATTGTGCAAAAAGAAGGAAAGAATTGGCGTTTGTGGCTAAACAAGTTCGGAATTCTTGAAGGGTAACCTGACAATAAAAGAGGAAAGAGAGACACGACAGAAGACTAGCTCTATGAGTCTTGTGAAAGGACAGTCGTGTAATGGAGTCGTGCTTTAGGGTTCCGCTTATCCTCTTAAGAAAACAGAAAGAGGCAGGTTGGGGTTTCACTGTCAAAGAAAGCAAGCAAACATGATACTGTAATTAAGCTTAACAAATATGGGAGATCAAAAAATACGGGAGATCAAAAAAATACGCCATTATCACCCATCCAACTACTCCTGCTATTGTTTATCAAGCCGAGCAGGGTAAAAAAGCAATTACAAAAATTATTTTGAACCATGAAACGATAATCCTATAAAGATCCAAAACCTACAAGCCAACTCCAACGAGTATTTTCCTGTCATGAGTTTATCAGCACCTGCCTCTCTCCAGTTCACCCCACTTCTCTCTTTTGTTTGCATTATTCCCCTTCGAGGGTAAAATAAATAATGCCTAACTTTCCGTGTCAATATAAGAATCAATCTTGCCATGGATCACTCTCCGTCCTCACTTCTGATGGTTCAATTACTTGTGGCTCTGAGACCTCACTGGCATTCGCATCAGATTCTGCAGCATTGCCCTCTGCTGCCACTTCTTTGTCTCCATCTGATCTACCCCATCTCCCTCCAAGTGCCATGGCCATCATCTCATATATTTTACCACCCAGCTCAGCTGGGCTGTCGGGCTGCAGCATCAAGGGAAAATTGTGAATGGCAAGAACCTACTCATATTCAAGCGTATGTTAAGCAATTAAAAGAACCTTTTAAAAAATATATATATTGTTAATTCTTACAGTGAATCCACTGGAGATCAACGCTGTGTCATATAGGAGGTCAACAGCTCTCTTGGCATCATCGCTGTCAGGTGCATTCTTGCAAGCAGCCTGCATATACAAACAAGCTAAGTTTAAACCACTCCCCCTTTGCATTAAAAACCTAATATCTTCTAATTTATTTGGTCCTTTTTTGGTGGGTTCCACAGATAAACAGTGAGTTTAAACAGCATAACTTGCTTGAGTAAATTAGACAGCATGATTATGTTCTCATGATAGAACAATTATATAACATTCCATTTCCCATTTGATTTGGTATGTCACATAATGCCCAATAGTTCTTCAAACTGTTTCTATCAAGTTCTCTATTATAATGCCCAACGGTTCTTCAAGCTGTTTCTATCAGGTTCTCCATTACTTCCTCACTGATTAAAGAAGAAGAAGAAGAAGAAGAAGAGCAGCAGCAGCAACAACAAAGGCATAGCTTCACCCAATTAATCAATGTTGAGAAGAACTGTCTTACATTCATATCTTTAATGATTGGGTGATCTGGGTTAATCTCCAGTATTCTCCTTCCCCTCATGAACTCCAAGCTAGATTGATCCCCAAGGGTTTGCGCTTTCATCAACCTTCAAAAGTATGAAAGATTTGAAATAAGTTCAACTGAATAAGCTTTGAGCTTTGGTTAGGTTGGGTGGAATCGGGGTAAGATTGGTGTTCTTTAAGTCCATTTATAACCTTTCCATGTTCGCAGACCAACCAAACTTGCCAGAGACAAGCACACAGGGAGAAGAGCTCAGACGCTTTGAAACTTGGACTTTGGCCACCTTTTCACCAAGTTGCTGCTTAATCCAATCACATAGGAGATTGAATTCTTGTTTAGTTTCCCTATCTTTGACCTCATCATCATCACCTGACATCGATATCCTATCTTATTAGAGAGATGGACACTGGAGCAGCAAGAAGACAAGAGCTACGCCAAGAAAAAGCTTTTGAAATGCTTCTATGAATAACACAATAGACAGAGAAATTGCTAGTACTAACCGAGTTCTAGATCTTCCTTGCTGATATCAACAAGTTTCTTCTCTTTGTAGGTTTGCAGGTTCTGGATGGCAACTTCATCAATTGGCTCTATTAAATAAAGGACCTGCAAACAGTGAAGCAAACAAACAAACCACATCAACCATCCAGGAACTTGAAATGGAATGCCCGACATCTGCCAACACAGAACCTGAAACAGCTTATGAAGTAAAAAAAAAAAAGTACAACAATAAAGATTATGATAACAGCAGCTATAAGGGATGGCCAGGTAAAAGAAAAGAAGACAAAAACTATATAAGAATGCGTGTCAGTTTTTCTAGAATTAATGAATATGAATTTCATTAGCCAAATCTATAAAATTATTTAAACCTACTTAAGCCAATTTAATTTAACCCCTCCTATTTAATGTTTCAATTATTTCATTCTTCTTCTGCAAAAGCTTATATCATAGATCTACATTCTTACAAAACACATCATCAAGGTTGTGTGTTTATGCCTTGTGTACACATTGTTTTATTGAGGTATTAATAGTTTTGTGTATCAGACAGCTAAAAAAATGGATGATGAGAACTTGAATCACTCATTCTTCATCAGCTAAAAAATGCATCACAGAAAAAACTAGCCATTACCATGTGAATTCAAGAGATGATAAAACCAAATCTGCACCCTGCACATACCTCAATGTCCTTTTGAACCAACTTCTCCAAGAAGGGCGCACTCTTGGCACTTTTCAAGCTGTCTGTTGCCAAGTAATAGATAGCCTTCTGGTTTTCTCCCATATTTTCAACATATTCATCTAGGCTTGTGAGTTCTTCCTCGCTTTTGGAAGTGTAGAACCGCAAAAGCGGAGTTATGCGCTTGTGATTACCAGAGTCTTCAACACATCCTAATTTCAGAAACTTGCCAAAGTTCTCCCAGAATTTTTTGTAATCCTGAAAATCAAAAACGTATATAGGCCCAATTCATTAGTATATCAGAGGTTGAAGAAGGTGAAAAATGTACACAAACAACTTTGCTACTAACCTCTTTGTTTTCACTTTCAGAAAGATCTTGAACCATGTCGAATGCTTTCCTAACAAGTCGTTTTCTCATAATCCTTACAATCCGACTCTCTTGGAGAATCTCTCGAGAAACATTAAGAGGAAGATCATCAGAGTCCACCACACCCCTCACAAAGCTTAAATATCGTGGGAACTGCCCAGAAAAATGAAAAGACAACCAACTTAGCTTGGCCTTGTATAAAATTGCAACTTTATGACAACCTTAGCTGCCCAAAACAGTGTATTGAATCCTTGGAGAAAACTATAAAAATTTGCACCAAGGATAGAGTACAGATTAAATTGATATGGACAAAGATCTTCCCCAATTAAAATTCAGATACAATAACCAAGTATGATTAAATATGCATGAAGAAAATGCAGAAAACATTCAAAATTTGGATTTCAATAATTTATGACAACACTCACCAGCTCCCCATCAAAATCATCTGAGATAAAAACCCGCTTCACATGTAAGCGAATGTTCTTGGTTTTTGGATTTATTACTTCCTCGTTGTTAAGAGGTCCCATTCCTGGAATGTATAGAACACTCCTAAACTCAACTTCTCCCTGCAAAAAATTTCTAAGTAAATTTCAGACCCTGAACAATTGGTAGTCAAGTAAGAAGTATGAGTATTACGGTACCTCTGTGGTAAAGTGTGTGTATGCAAGTGGATCCAAGAATTCATTAAATGTCTTCTTGTAGAACTCCTGATACTCATCCTTTTCAACTTCCTTTGGATTCCTCATCTAAAACATAAAACACATCACATAAGAAATAGCAAAAACAAAGGTAATACATATGTTAACTACATTTACAGTACAACTTATACATATATATATACTCACCCAAATTGGTTTTGTTTCGTTGGCTAATTCCCAATCCCAATACTTCTCAGTTTTAGTTTTCTTTGTTTTCTTCTTCTCACCCTGCAACAGGAACAAGAACCCAGTTAATGGACTGGTTAATTAGACCAAAATCATAGAATCTTTATCAAGGTTGTGATGGCATTTACCTCTGGCACCTCTTCTCCTTTTGGTTCTTCCTCCTCTTCAACCTGCCAATGTTTCAATTTAGTAAAGACACTTTAGTTGGTATTGGCTTCAATGTACAAACAGCACTAATAATGACAGAAGCAATATTCAGCTCAAATTACTATTCACGTTCAAAATTGTAAGATACTGAAAACACAAGTTCTTACAAAGGTTCTAAGAAACCAGGTTCAAGAGCAATACAGTTTTTAAATTGTAAGAGCACTGTACTTCCTCTAAGAATTCCAAACAAAAATGTTTATGCAAATCAAAGTTCCATCCATACAAAGTTTTTCAACTTTCATGTAATTTTGTCAATAAGCAGGATGGTAGAGAGAGAAGTATTCTGACCTCAACAGTCCTTGATTTTTCAACCCATGTATAGATGGGGAAAGCAACAAACTGAGAGTAATTCTTCACCAACCCCTGGATTCTGAGAGCGTCTGAGAATTCATACTTGTCATCTTCCTGCAATAGAACAATAATGTATAAGCCTGACTGTGATAACAATTACTAAAGTTGGAAACAAAAACAGGTGAACCCTACACGGCCCCCCAAACCCCAGTCACAAAACAAGCCAGCAAAGAGAGAATTTTAAGTTTTGTTTTGGAACCATATACAAACAATACTGCCTTTCAAAATAAGGTTGAATGCATGTTTTGCATGTAATTTGTGGATAATATCCAAGAAGCAAGTATACCTTTAAATAAAGTGTGATTTCAGTACCACGACGCAGGATCTTTTCGGGGTCAGTTTCTTCCTTGATGACATATGAGCTACTGTCAGCTTCTGATTCCCAAACATATTGCTTATCTGACTTTGGGCTCTTTGTAGACACAACAACCTGATTGCAAATAATATACATGATCAAGTTTGATCAGGAACTTGCCACAAAACACCCAGTCACAAACACTTCAAATAACAGCATGCAGAGATATACATACAAAAAAAAAAATAGGAAACACATTGCACCTTCTCAGATACAAGGAAAGCAGAATAGAAACCAACACCAAATTGGCCAATCAAATCATTGTCTGCCCCAACATCTTTGTTTTCCTGTAAAGATAACAGGCAAGAGAACTTAATTATATGTCCAACAGAATCTAGGAATGGTCAGTGATTCGATGTTATCTTAAGGATAAACAGACACCTTAAGAGCCTTGAGGAATTTTGAAGTGCCACTCTGAGCAATAGTTCCAAGGCAGTCAACTAACTCCTCTTTCGTCATCCCAATGCCAGTATCTCTACAGATTCAGAAAAATCAGATTAAATTGCTTCCCGGCATACTTATCTACACTGAGGAAGTGAAATTCAAAAAAATTTGCATACGTTATGGTAATGATGCCATTGTCTGGATCAGATCTGATGCGTATCTCAAGGTCACCAGCATCTCCAAGCAAAGAGGGTTCAGTCACACTTAAGAATCTCAACTTATCTAAAGCATCACTTGCATTGCTGCATCATAGTAATAGAATCAAGTCAATGCGTCTATTACAATGGGAAGTGCTACGAAAACAATATAATATCAGTAGAAAAGAAATAGTAAAACATTTGGTCTGTAAAATGGGTACCGAAGGCAAAAAAGCTGTTTTCTCATGTTGCCTCGCACACAAAAATCAAATGCTCAAATTAACAAACTAGATAGAAAATTAGCAAACTCACAAAGCCAGAGATTAGGAAAGATTAATATAATTGCTAGCTATCAATAAAGTAAACGCTCACCTCACAAGCTCTCTCAGGAAGACTTCCTTGTGGCTGTACAGACTGTGAACTATCAAATCCAGCAGTCGACTAACCTGAAACGATTAAATTTCTCAACTCTCAGGGCTTTTGAAACAAAAACTTAATTCCAAACTAAACATAACATGAAAAAGATCAATCATATCAACGTAAAAAAACCACAAAAATCAATCATTCACCAACAAAAATAAATAAAAATACTTCAATAGGTCAAACTGAGACGAAAACAAAATTAGACTAAAACACTAGAAAAATCAAGACCCGATTCGCAAAACTTCAAAAAGATTCCAAGTTTCACAGAACAAAACGAAACCCACCTCAGCTTGGTACTCAAATTTCTCGCCCGAGGTATCAGTAGATTCCTTCTCAGCCACAGCAGCCTTACACCTAACCGAAACCTGGTCACATCTCTTCTCAGGTTTCCATTTTAAGCCAGAACAAGAAAAACCCTTTCTGAGACCATTATTTTGTGGCAAGAAAACACTTCTGAGATTGAAGACTTTATTATTTGGATGTCTAATGGAAGAGGAAAGGGAGATTAAAGAGGCAGAAGTAGCCAAGCTTCTGCTTAGAACTGGAGCCATTAGAGAGGTGGAGCTAGAGCTAGAGCTAGAGCGAGTAGAAGCAGCAGGTCTTAGAAAGAGAGAAGATTTTTTTGGGCTTCCTCTTATCTATCTATTTGTGTACTTGAAAGTAGGAGAGTCACGAGTGATGCAAAGAAGGAAGAAAACCCTTGAGGGGTTTAAGGAGAAGAGAGGGTTCTCGAGTTTGAAACAAAAACCGAAGTAGTCTTTCAGGGTTTTGAGCTTCGAGTTGCGTGCGTGGGAATTGTAAGGCTTAGATGCTATCATCTCATCAGCATCCACAATATCCTCTTAATTTTCTTTTCTTTTCTTTTTTATTATTTGAACTTCAACGAAATAAAAATCACATTGTAAATAGGTGCCGTTTGGTCTTATTGTACAATGTGTTTTTTAATTATACAAAGAGTTTTTTAAAAGTAATTTCATCTTACATTAAGAGATTTTTTTTATATTAATATATTAAATTTATTGAAAAAAAATTAAAATTATTAATATAATATTTTTTTAAAATAGCTAAGTGTACAATCTAAATCTTCTAGTCCCGGTATATTAATTTAAGCTCAAAATCAACTTTAAGCATGTTTATGGTATTGTAATGCATGTATTTGTAAAAAAATATTTAAAAAAATATATATGTTAAAATATTTTTTATTTTTAATATTAACGCATGAAACTATAAAAAAAAAATATAACTCAGTAAAAAAACACAGAAACCAAATCTGAACCAATTTGAGAAATCATCTGCAATTGATCTGCTTTATTTATAATAAAAAATGACTTCTATAAACCGCAAAAAAAAAATGTTGTTGTGGTTACAATGGTGGTGACGAGACGACTGGTAGTAGATATGAAAGGAGTGATTTCGCAGGAACAAAAATGTAGTTTGATTTTATTAAATCTTTTTTAAAGAGCCACATGATTTCATGAAGATTTTTCAATGGATTGCTGCCAAAGCACGTATGATCATTTCAGCTGCATGATTCACATAGAATATCAACAAGCAAAAGCAAACAGCAAAACGGAGGAGGAAGGTTATGAAATTCAGGGAAATAAATAAACAAATAAGTTGTGGGGAATAGTTGATGATTGCTGGCTGACCAAACTCCATTCGCCTAGATGCTATGTTGAAAGCTCCAATGGCTGCAGCTAAGGCATTTCCCATTTTTGCTAAAGTGATCCAGGACTATTTAGGTTCAACATTGTTGCTGTACTAAGCCGGAGCCTTCACAAAGACTCGAGAATCCACAAGGTAACTGAAATAGATAGAACAATGGAAGATTGTGATAAGTGAATGTATGTGTACTGAACGCAGTAATCACAGAGTCTCCAGCCATCAACCACACAAGGAACAGGAAAGGGATGTTGGAATCCGATTAGAATGACTGACCTTGACCTGATCAGGCCTCGGCAGCTGTCTGCTTAAGACAATCAACGTTGCACAATCCAACAGACCTCACCATGTCTCCCAACCTGCCATAACCAAATCCAATTATCAACATCATCGTATGTTCGTCAAATTTATACTTTGCAAAGGACGTAAAACATAGCAAATCAGGCCTTAGTTGAACGAACCTGTCGAAGCTGTTCCTCGCTTTCTCTTGTTGATCTGTGCTATTTCTTGCTTTCCCCAAGCGATCAATGCTCTTTCGCGTCCTCTCTCTTTTGTCAGTGCTGGCTCTTGCTTTCTCTCTATTGTCTGTGCTTAGCCTGGATTTTTCTCTCTGTCCAAAACTAGGCCTGGCCTTCTCTTTATAATCTGTGCTTGGCCTTGGCTTCTCCGCCTTGTATCCTGCTGCATTCAAGGGTTGTTCAGGTTGATCTGTACTTTGTTCAGATACATGCGGCGGCAGTTTTTCGATGGCAGATATGAACTTCTTGAGATGCTTCAAGTACTCTGGGTAGAGTTCCAGATTGCAGTGGTTTCCTCCTTTGAGCCACAGTGGTTCATACTTCTCTTTGCAAAGCTCCCAAAGCTGCTTCCCATGAGAGAAATTCACAACTTCATCTTCTGTTCCCTGCAATCACCAGTAGTATAAGAAGATTTTATGAAAAATATAGGATTTTGAGCTCTCCAGAACCGGTGGTTCAGTTCCGTTCTGCTCCATTTTGAGCCATTCTTTAAGAATCATGGTTATTCATAATCATAGCCCATGCCTCATCAGCTGAAAACTTTTTTATTTACTACAATGTTTGATCGCAGGAAAATATTGCTAAAAAGATTCCACTGCATCCTAATGATATTACAGACCACCAACGTATTTTTGCAAGAACATAACTCATATCATAAAATTCAACTTGTCAATACTGTGCCAGAAATCTCTGCCCTTATTTATAAAGAAAAAGGAGAAATTATGCTGTGTCGATGTTAGAACAATATAATTTGGAAGCAAAGTTCATCTATAAGGCTTAAAATATGGCATCGAGACTTTTTGAATACATACGTCAGGCTAAATTTGGATTCAGCAAGTAAACAAGGGGAAACGATACTTACATGAATTACAAGAACTGGACAATTGACTAGCGGAATTTTATCAATATTCTGCAGAGGAAAAAATAAAGGGTTACCCTGAAATGTAGTGTCAAATCTAACACAGCAAAACTACAAGGCAAAATGTGGGGGAGGAACCTTGTAAATGTCGAACCAGAATGTTTTCTTGATAGGATACATGACTCGAAGGCCAGACAGGATAGGGCTGTGAAGAATTACAGCCCTCAGTCCAGGCAAATGAGTAGCCAATTCAAGAGCAGGTCCACTCCCTACTGACTGGCCATACAATATAGTGTCTTCCTCCTTCACTCCATATGTCTCTTCAAGGCATTTATACGCAGCCTCTATGTCAGAGTAGGTGTCATGCTCGCTTGGCTAATTGACACCAATGGAGTGCATCGAGCAGTCATTTCATTTATTATAATTCAAAGAAAGAAATGGACATATTATACTGAAACAAAGTTTTCAAAAATACTTTGTGATTGCTGTCATGGATAAATGGAGTATGTTTTTTACTCGAGCTTTTAACTTCGTTGCTAGAAACATATAGCTAGAACATGATATCGTGACACCATTGAATTTAAATAAAATAATAAAAAAATCTATCAAACTAGCCTCCATCGGCATTTTACCAGTGCCAACTTTATAGTAACCCCTGATCACTAATTATTATTGTCTGCTGTGATGCAGGAACTTTCATGATCTGCGTGCGTGCTGTCAAGAAATTAGAAGGGCACCCTAAACTCCCTGCATCCGAGGTTAGGCCGGCCTACCAATCTTGCTCAAGCCCGCGTAAAGAAGGCAAGCATGACGAAAGAGCCTTGTCATAAAGCATAAAAAGTCAAATTCCAACTCTCTCTGTTTTGACTTTTGAAAACTTTCACCCACCATCCCTCATTAAAGTAAGAAAGAAACCTTCTATTGATTGATGGCTTGCCTAGGTATGCTTTGATTGATTGGGATTTTAGTTTGATCACTACCCTATAATCAAGTTCTTCATAAGGCCAGATAAAAACAGACAAAATATTATACCTTTCCAGAAGACTGTCCATAGCCAGAATAATCATACCTGCATAGCTCCAAAAAAGCCATAGATCATCATAGAATCAAACCCGTAAGTATGAAAAAAAAAATACTGTTATCAAGAAATTCAAGATTTTTTATACATATTAATTAAAATGATAAAACTGACCCACCCCATAAGATTAACATTAAGGTGCGAGCTAAGCTCAGTCAAAATATGATACATCTGGCCAATATCAGCAGCATTGCCATGAGAATACAGCACTGTCAATGAAGCTGAAGGATTCTTCACATACATTGCAACAATCTCGTTGCCTTTCTTGGTACATAACTTCAGAATATCCACGTTGTCCCTTTGGTAGACTACGTCTGACGAGAGCCTGAGCTTTCCAGTTTCTTCATCCACTAATATGGTGTAAGATGGTGGATTTGGCGGAAAGAAAGCAAATTTCGCTGCCATGGATGATGTTGCTGTACCCATTTGATCAAAAACAATATTGATGGAGAGCTTGGAGGTGATTAGCTTTTTGGGGTGTGAATGGCTACGGGAAGTGCACGGTAAAATCTTAGTATGTGTGTTTCTTTAGCTTTTTGTTTTGTTTTGTTTTTTGAGAGAGAGTACGTGGTTCCTGTTTGGTTCTTGAGAAAAATGGTTGAATATAAGGTCTTGTGAGAGAAAACATGGAAAGAGCAAAATCAGAGGAAGAAATTTCTATAGGTTATTTAAGAGGAGTAAATTCAGGCTGTTTGAATTCATCTCCAAGAACATATTAAATCATAGGAGGCAAAAAGGGCAATGCTTAAGGTCCTGTTTTCTCTTCAGATATACCAAGACCAATGCGCCTCTCCATTGGCATGATTTTTGCTAATTCTAAAACCCATTTGAATAATTATACTTCTTTCTTCAAAGTTGGTTTCTTGATGATGCTTGCTTTAATGTAGACTGGACAAAACAATTGAGAAAACAAAAAAGGATTTATGTAGGGAAAAAAGTGGATGAATGATGAACAAGTGGGACTAAGGACTCCCAGAAAAATATTCAAAGTAAATTAAATGGGTGGGGCTAGTTTAGATGGGATTAGGGACACTCCATGATTATATATATATATATATATATATAGAAACACACACTTTGAGATTGTGGCTTTTTCTAATTGCTTTTCATTCCCTACTATGTTTCTTAGAATCTTGGAATTGAATGATTAAATTAACTTATGCGTCTAGAATTCTATTGAGAGTATTAATTTGAATTTCAAGTGAAATTCAAAATTTAAAAATAAATAGAGAAAATTAAAGAAGAGATCTTCTAATTTATTACATAATTCCAAATAAAAATAATAATCTTTTAAAAATGCTTCGCTTTCTTTTCTCTCATAAGCCCTGCAACTTCTCTTTTCTATCTCTTTCCTTTATTCAACAAAAACTTTGGTTGTTTTTGTTCAAGAAGATTGTCTTCATCGTGTATTGTTTTGTGAAGTGTTCATGTTTGTCTCTAAAGTGATGATGGAGATGATGAAGAAAAAAAAAGAAAGAGAGAAGCAAAGTCATGAAAATAAAAGACAATTTCTTTTGTTTTTTTTTTGTTGATTAATGTGGGTGTCCGGGTCAACTTGCGCGTACCCCGACTAATCCCACGGCCCACTGAACATCCTGTAAGCCTAGTGAACAGGTAAGACACCGCAGGGATAACAGGCGTACCACACAGAGAGAACTTAGTAGAGACACGAAACGAATAGCTCACCAG